ATACAGTACTGAGTGAAAATGTAGATTAAAATCATTTATTGGACTTTTTGTGCATTTTAAAGCTTCATAAATTAAAACACAAAAATATTGCATGTATGTGTAACAAATACATGGTTGTAAAAAAAAAAAGCATCCTTCATCATGTTGGATATTCAGCTGTTCTCGGCCCAAACTGCAGATGATGTGTTGGTGGGAGACAAGGAGACACAGTCTGAATCTGTTCCTGTGTCACTGCTGGAACAGCGAAAGGATATTTGGAAGGGACTGACACTGACATCATCCAGAAAAAATAAGAAAAAAAAAAAAGAATGTTAAAAGGATGTAGATGGCAGCGAGCTGCTGTTGTCATGGTGATGTGTGGGATTAGGATCATGATGTCCCACCAGTCAAGACTTCCGGTTGTCAAATCTAAGCGGGACGAGGGGGCTAAACATCCAGTCATCGCGCCGTCACTGTCCACACCTCTCATTTTTACTGTTGTCCGACAGAGAAGAGTGGCTTTGCTCTCGTTTTTTTTTTTCCTTTTTTTTTTTCTCCCACTCTCTCGGGGGGGGTTATGAGCTGCTGATGTGAGAGCTGAGTTTCTAAACATTGGGTCCTTTGATCGTTCCCGGCTCCTGTAATCTCTGCGAGGTGTATGCAGACGCAGCCAGACACATGGCTGCCTCGCAGTACCCTGGGAGACCTGGGGGTCCCGCCTTACCGGGGCGACCGGCCTCCCCGGCTACTCCTTGAGGTCCTCTCTCACCAGGCCTTCCATTTCGAGCTACACCGTCAACACCAGGAGGACCTGTAGAAAAACAAGTTTTTCTCACTGATTTTGTGAAATAAAAAAGAAAAATACTAAGATTTATGTTGACGATGAAAACAACCAAAACAGACTGCGATGGCACTGCTGAATTACATGTTGTACCTTTTTTTTCTTTTTTTTAAGTTATCTGTCTGTGTACAATGTGTTGAATTAGCGTGTACTGTTGCAATCCTTTCACATTCTCTTTCAAGAGCATCTGTTAAATGACTGGAGTTAATGATGCCTTTAAAAATCCTTTCAGCGGCCTCTCCTGTGGCAAAAGATGTAATGCCAAGTCCTTCAGTTGCTTATTGTCCCTTTTGTCTTCTCATACCTAAGCCTTCCCATCCACCATTTTTCTTTTAACGAACAATTCAAACCGCTCTATAAAAATCCTGACTACATGCAGTACGACGCTCATGTTTTTTTCTTTTTTTTACAATCAGCTGAGGTGGAAAAAGTTGACGCATATTAAACTGTGACAAACTGCAACTGAAAACCAACTTTGTGAAAAAAATATATATATATATACTCAAGTGGACGATTGCTGAATAGTTTTTAGCTAAAACAATGCTGTAGAACAGATTTTTATTTATTTTTTTGCTGAGAATTTAAAAAAATGAATTGATGCTAGGGACTGTTCGGTGTTTAGACAGGTGACGAATTTAACGTTTATGAATCATGTAGAATATAATTTGTGATCAGATTTCAACACCTGACAACATATTTAAACCAGAGTGCCTGCACTATGCGGGGATTTAACTCACGCATCCTCCCCCACACACACTCATGGTCTTACATGAGGTTTTTTGAAGCGTGAAATAGCTTATTACAGCTAAACATATTAGAAAATGTATTGTTTGTATATACTGTACAGCAGCAAGATGAAAACGATGTGAATCAACAAGAGTCAACATCTAAACAATTGTTGTTTTTTGTTTGTCTTTGTTTTTCTGGTGTGTGTGTGGAGGGATATTACATATTTTCCAGGCACATAGTTCAATTCTATACCACAATCAAGTACTTTCAGTTGTTATGAAAATGCTGTATCAAAAATAAATTTGACTTTGCATCATAGCCTGTCTAAACTCATTTAAATCGGCCTCTGTCTCTTTAAAAACCTTTGACTGTTTCAGACACTCCCACTTCAACGCGTCTTTGCGTCAGTGCTTTGGGACAGGGGAGCTCTGTGTGGCGCGAGCTCTGCTGCAGACTGAACTGCAGGGTGGGGCTTTGGGTAAACGGGCGGTGCTTTGTACCAGCAAGCATTTAGGTATGGCCCCACATAGCTACCACAACAGCTTCAAGGACTTCTCAAACATGTAGGAATGAGTCAAAGCAACATTCTGGGTATGTGTATGATGAGTGTGTATGATTTTTATTATTTTTTTTGTGCCATCAGGAAATCAATTTGTCCTGTACTCACTAGCAAATCAAAGTACTTTTGACACAAACATTTGCATAAAAAACAATTAGAAGCATAACATTTTTTGTGTGTTTTTAACTACTTCAACCTGCCATCCATTTTAATATTATGTGTTTGGTTCAAAGACTGTATATGCTGTAGTTAGACCATGGCCTGGAATCCAGAGGTTGAATCCAAAATGGAATCTTACCTTGCTGCCTTAAATTTGCTGTATTATTA